GGGCAGGCGGGAATCGAACTCATGTGGAAGTGGCTTTAGCTTCTCAATGCAGTGCTTTAACCCGCTGCGCCACTAGGGAGGGCCCCCATTTTTTTTTTTTTTTAAATAATCATTTGTTCTTTTAATTGTGGTGACACTGGAATTCTGCTCATCAGGGCTGGCCACTGTAGGGCACCCACCACCAAATCCCCATGGTCTACTCCATGACCTCCCGTGCTTCCTTACCAATTTGTTCCCCTCTCCTCCCCGTCTCACTCCCCACTCGCCCCCAACTCCTCTTTGAATGCTTCGGTTTCCAAGGGTTGAATAGCTCCTGTTTTTGCAGAGTGCTGGAATCTGGGGAAAAGCTGTCCCTGTCTTGCTGTAGCTGCAGCCCATCATTGCAAGTTTAGCCTATTAGGGTTAATGATTTAGTGAAAAACTGCGCAGAGGAGAGCTGTCTGTTTGCCAAGACATCAGCATAATTTTCTTTTCTCTGTGCACAACATCCCCCCACCCCCCAGTTCTCTGACAGCTTTTCACAAGATATAATTATTTTAAATTAATCCTGCAAGCTCTCTGGTTTGATCCATAAGGAAAGTATTTTGGTAACAGAGTTTATGGGTGATCTATTGAGGTGTTCCAGTTTAATCCACCAGGATTACTTGAAAGGAGCAAATTATGTTAATTTTCACTTGATGGCCTATAGTTAGCTGGCAGAGATGGCTTTTGGAAGGTGTTCTATGTAAAATATCTGATGGATATTGGATCAGATGACCACTTGAGTCAATTCACAGTCGCGTTCAGATAGTACTAACAGGAATCTTGAGCCCTGTGCACCACTTTTTCATTAGTTCCTGCTGTTGAAAGCCCTAGGAGGGGGTTTGCGACCTTCAGCCCCTGCAGGCCCCATGGTCCCTATTATCTTACACAGCAGCTTTCCCATTTGTGGGTGTGCCTGGTGCCCCCTGGGCACTGAGTCTGGGTGCTGCACACCGGCTTTACAGAGGCAGAAAGAACCAGAGAGCGACTAGGGGCATCGGGATGGTATTCCCCCTTTTGCTGGCTCCAGTTCTTATTCAGTGCCCAGTACACTGTGCCAGTAACCCAGAAGCAACTCGGTCAATTTTGCAGGTCTGGGACTCCACTGGCCGGGGGGGCGTCTAAGTATCAACCCAGCACAACACGGGTACGTGGGTGTGACTGAGCCTCCGCAAGAGCCCTTCCCTCTCCCCCACCCCTGCTGCAGTGTGGGCATGGCACTGCCCTCCCGTACAAAGTTCTCTCCACAGAGCAAGCTCCACTGCCAGGGCCTGGGAGGCCATCACCGAGAAGCTGTCAAAGGGAGCTGCGTTCCCTACATTCTCTGCAGCGATCAGCCGTCCTTTCTCCCTCTCTGTCCCCATGCAGGGTCTTCAGCCAGCTTTCCTGGCTCCTGGTATCCAGACACATCCCCAGGACCCCCTCTTTTCTCACCTCGGCACGCCTGCTTTTCCATGCCCACAGCTCACAGTGGCCCTTGTTTAGATTTTGTCCTCACAGAAGGACCTTGTATGGGCTGCTGCCGGTGTAGCTGGGGTGATAATATAAAATAGCTGCAGTTTTTTTCCTCCAGTCAGGTGTTCTCCTTTATTTTATTGCCAGCACTACTCAATGACCATGGAAGCTAGATGAGAGTAAGGAGTGAACGTTTCAAAATTTAAACAATAAAGCTATTTTTCAGGTTCTTGTTCCTCTACCAAGTAATGGATCATTAATTCTCCTCTTTTGTATTGGCAAAACAATCCTTTCTCCTTTGAGAATGTTAATGGTCTTTGCAGGCAGATGGCTCATCCATGCGCATCCCTAGCACACCTGGTGGCTATCCAGGTGTAACTCCTCTTTACAGCAGTGCTAGATCCGTTTGGATTTTATAGTGTTAATGTTGTGTTAACTTAGTATGGATTAGACATGAAATCTGTTGAACTGCTTTAACCCAAGGCGACTATTTTATCTGCATCAATCCCTTAACAAGTCAGGTACCTGAGAGGCTGGCTGTGGGCTTTGATTTCCCCTTACCTTACCTGTGGATGAACCGAGAGAACATTCCCGGTATTACCATATTCTGTGCAGCCATCCCAGGCCGGGTAGCGTCACCGACAGTGCTAACAGTTTAAAAGAACATTGGAGCCGTGGCAGCATCGTCACAGGGTGTAACCATAGGCAGGGAAAGCAGCCAGCAGGGAGACAGCAGCTTGAGCCCCCTCTCCCCGAGGTGATGCATCCTCATTGACCCACCCCCTGCTAGCTCAGGTGTGCACACTTACTGCGTCCCACCCATGCTCCAGGTGTCCACAATCAGGCACGTGGCCCCACGCTCACGGGCCTTCTGTACTCACACGATCGAGGCCACAGGTGACAGCCAC